GTTGACAAGTTTTATATTATTATTTGGTAAACTACAGTTGTAATATGGCGATTCAAGTCGGTATCAGAGGAAAAAAAGCCAACGGGTTTTCTCTTGTCAGGTAAGTTATAAAATAATTTTACATTTTGCCCTACTTTTTTTGCCTATTAAAAAAAAGTCACCAATAGGTTCTGATTACGTGCCCTTGCCAAGTGACCAAAAAGAGGAAAACAGAGAAAATGAATGTAAGAAATCTACACTGAAACACATCAAAATAATGTTCAGAAGATTGTCACCTGGTTACATCTGGAAGCCACTGTGCAGTTAAGCTGGGCCACTCCAGAGCATGGGTCATCACCAAATCATAAAGAAAAGGAGTGTTCTTTTTCCATATTTTGTACTCCTCGTTGATTACACGTTCTTCCACTGCGTCGTCAAAGGCTGCTAAAATGTTTTAAAACAAATTAAGTTAGCAAACAGAAACCAAGTAAATCTCTCCAAAGCTACCCGCATGACTCTGAAATGGAGGAGACTTGTCTAAATCTCCCTAGGCGGAGGCACCAACACTCCTCTCCAGCTTCGGAGGCCGGAACTCCCCGGGTCATCCCCGCCAGGCACTCCCGTTACCCGCTCGGGCCACGGCGCCGGGCCTCTAGGGCGCGCGCGCGCGAAAAGCCCACAGGACCGACGAGGAGGCCCGGGCACCGAGCCCTGGGGGTAGGAAGCGGAGCAGGGAGGCCCAGGAGAGAGGAGAAGACATAGACGGGGAGCTTGAGGAGGGGCAAACACCCGCTGGGGCCCCATCGCCAGCTCCGCCTGCAGTGACAGACATCGCTCCAGGGGAGCTAGCGCGCCGTTAGCCCGCCCCGCGGGGAGCTCCCTCCTCACGGCTGCGATGCTGCGAACTGCACTCAGCAAAGTCAGGCCTGCACTCACTGTTAGGCCGTGTCGAGGCCGCGGCACAGCCCTGGCATCCCCTCTCCTTCTGGGGCGGCCCCGGCACACTCACCTTCCTTGTCGGCCATGGCGGGCAGGCGAGCCGGGGGAGATCCCGGGATCGAGCGTTGCGGGAGGGGCGGGGAGGGTGCGGGCGCTCGCTCCGCGCGCGCGGCCTCTATTGTTTCCTGCGGCCCCTGCGTGAGGGCCGACTCGCGCACCTTCGCGCCAACATCAGCCAATTGGAGGGCACCGAACGGCAGAGTGGGCGGGGAAGCCGTGTTCTCGGCCTATCCAGACGCGCGGAGTCGCTTTCCGCGGGGCCCAAGGCAAGCGCTCCGCTCCTCCCCCAACACCTCCCGAAGCCGACTTCCATCGATTGCGCGCGTGGGGGGTGATGGGATTGCTCTCTCCTGTCTCACGTGAGAGAGGTTTAGCCCGCACACTCGCGGGGGCAGCCATTTTCTTAAAGGCTGTTACACTTACAATTCTTTTAAGAGTACTGAAATGAGAAATGTGGGGTGCTTTCAGGTCTAATTATCAACTCTCCTACCTAGAGGTGTTTAACTCAATGTGCCCTTTAACTTGTTTCCTTAGTTTTTACAGAGAACTAATGCTGAAACAAGCGCAGATGATGTGGTTTTGGCTTTTTAAACATGCGATCCAAGAGGCAGGGCCTAGAATGGAAGTCCTAGAAGCTGAACTACATCCGTGAGCTCCAGAATGGCGTTCTGGCGTTCTGGTTCTTTAATGGTGCGTGCCAAGGGGCGGAGCCTAGAGCGGAAGTTGTAACTCATTGCCGAAGCCCGGCAGATGAAGGGCGGAAGTAGAATGTCCAATCGTGCAATCATGGCGCAGGAAGAGGCAGATGTTAGAGACTACAATTTGACCGAGGAGCAGAAGGCGATCAAGGCCAAGTATCCGCCAGTCAATAGGAAGTACGAATGTGAGTAGATGGCTTGCCTCTCTCTTCAGATATGGCCCGCACGGGCCTCTTCCTACCCGCTGTTTCCGGCTGTGCCTTCTACTTTGCTCCATAGGTGCTTCAGGTGTGATCCCATTGCGCCTTGTATTTGTCTCTGGTACTTGTCCCAGAGATGCTGAGGGGAAAAACCACCTGGTTTGATAGTCGGGAAACCTGGGCTCCCACATTTACAGTCTCTTGAACTTTCACATGTGCCTAATCACATCTATTTTGGTGAATTCTACTAGTGCACTGATTGTAAAGATAACTGTTTTAAAGCGTTTGCGGTGTTGTCACCCCCATCCATTTCCCACAGGTGGGATAATTAAGGTGTGGAAATGTTAAAGGACTCGAAAAGCTAAGCAGGGATTTCTAACTTGTTTTACTTTGATCGTGTGTTAGTAAAAATACCTGTTTTTGCCATGTATTAGCTTAGTGACTTTGGGAAAATCATATGACCTATCTTTGCATCTCAGTTCCTTCATCTGAGAAATATATAATATA